GCGCCTTCACGGCATGGCGGCGGCGGCAACAACAATACTACAGCGATAATAAAAGTTCGCGGCGTTATGCAAATCTTCCCACATCGTGACGTAGACATGAGGGGGCGTGTTAGAACGAGGCGTTTTAGGAGGGCGTGGACAAGTCTTAACTTGCCCAAGACTTAACTTAAGTCTTCTTTATGCACCAAGAGCTTGTAACACTCCAAAGAGAAAGGAAAAATTGAAATCGTATGACCCCTTTAATAGCAGGGGGAAACACCTTATTGGGGAACTCGTGCACAGTTCTATGAAGAAATTAAGGATTTTATAAAAGGATAGTTCATAAAAAATAAACAATTATCTAATCATTTACTGGTTTTTAATGAAACCTAAAAGAGATTTATTTTCCTTCAATGAAAGTCCATTCTACCAAAACTTCCAAGCTTCAAAAAGTAATCCATACAAATCAAGAGATTTAATTACATGCTTCTAAAACACAATACAATTAAACTAAAACTGTAAAACAATTCTTCTTATAATGTCACTGAAGAATGAGGATATGGGTTTCTCTTGACATGTTTGAGCTGACCTTTGCCCTCAGCCCATCCCCCTCTTAAAGCAGTATTAGGGTTCAGAGCTGTTTATAGCTCAGTGCAGCACTTCACTGGGTTTATTTGACAATATGTTGTAATGGTCACTATATGACCATTAAAACACTTCTCTATCTCTCTCTCATTTTTATTTGTTGTATTTTCTGTTTTATTTTAATTTTAGTTCAAGTTTTAGTCATTTGGTTGTTTTTTTAATAGTTCTTTAAATATGTATGTATAGTGTTAATAATCTTTTTTTTATTGCCGTTTTTAATTTTAGTACATCAAGTTAAACTAGATGAAAATGAAGAGTGTTGGCTTGGTGCATATGTATATTATATACATATATGTGACCCTGGAGCACAAAACCAGTCATAAGTAGCGCAGGTATATTTGTAGCAATAGCCAAAAATACATTGTATGGGTCAAAATTATCGATTTTTCTTTTACGCCAAAAATCATTAGGATATTAAGTAAAGATCATGTTCCATGAAGATATTTTGTAAATTTCCTACTGTAAATATATCAAAACTTAATTTTTGATTAGTAATATGCATTGCTAAGAACTTCATTTGGACAACTTTAAAGGCGATTTTCTCAATATTTAGATTTTTCTGCACCCTCAGATTACAGATATTCAAATAGTTGATGTATAAATATCAATTTCTGAAAGAATTGACACTTTAAGACGGTTTTGTGGTCCAGGGTCACATATATACTCCCCTAACATTGTTTAGCAGTTGGCCTCTAAATATATAAGATATATTTTATAATATATTTAAAATTAATTAGAAAAGTATAATAAAATAATGTATTTCAGACTACAATAGAGAGACCGATTCTGTTACCTGTGTATTTTAGCATGGAATGCTATATTGACTGATCATCATCAAAGACTTTAACTATTTAGTTTTCATATGATTTTGCACCCTCAGATTCCAGATATTCAAATAGTTGATGTATAAATATCAATTTCTGAAAGAATTGACACTTTAAGATGGTTTTGTGGTCCAGGGTCACATATATACTCCCCTAACATTGTTTAGCAGTTGGCCTCTAAATATATAAGATATATTTTATAATATATTTAAAATTAATTAGAAAAGTATAATAAAATAATGTATTTCAGACTACAATAGAGAGACCGATTCTGTTACCTGTGTATTTTAGCATGGAATGCTATATTGACTGATCATCATCAAAGACTTTAACTATTTAGTTTTCATATGATTGGGAAGCAGGCCTGTTGTAGCATCATTTTAACTTTTCTAACTTGTACTCTTTATTGAAAATTATGACACTGAATTTATGCTAAATTTACCCAGATGGCATCTGAAAAACAATACAGTAGGCTATTCAAAGAATGACTGAAACTAATTGACTTTAATTTGAGCGCAGCCCAACCTTACATTCTCTACTTATTGGATAATTTCATTTCAGAACTTATTTAGCATGCCATTTCACTCTTAAACAATACTGATCTATGAAACAGACACACAGAGATTCTTCAGACCTGAACCAAACCCTATGTCAGGAACGACAACGAATACCAGTGTGATCAAGCACCAAAGATATTTAAAAACCTGTCCACACTGACCTGTGTTTAGTCATAACAATCTTCATATGACAAAATATATTCAGTGTGGATTGAATATTTCCACTCCATACACTGAAAAACAAATATATATTCATTTAAATGATCTTTCAAAAATAGTGTGTATGTATGTATATGCACACACACACACACAGACACACTCTCACACACACACGCACTCACACACTCACACAGACACACTCACACACACACACACACACACACACAGACACACACTCACACGCACGCACGCACACACACACACATTCACACACACACACAGACACAGACACACACATACACACGCACGCACGCATTCACACACACACACACACACAGACACAGACACACACATACACACGCACGCACGCATTCACACACACACACACACACAGACACAGACACACACACACACACACGCGTGCGCACACACTCACACAGACACACACACACACACACACAGTTAAGGTTTTACATTTTAAATTGCAAATCTGAAAATAAATGTTACAAGGTTTTCCTGCTTTGAGTTTGATACTGAAATCATCAGTTATGAAATTTACACTCTTCAATGCTGTATACTAAATCTTTTTCTGTTGCATGACTTCTTACAACTTTTAAACAGTGGTTTAAAAGTTATGAAATATGAATCTGAACCAAAACCACAATGACTCAAACATACCCTTTAATAACCACAATCCCCCTCAGCTAAACGTTACAAAACATTCAGTTTCACAAATAAGTGCAAGATTTATTCCCCGAGTTTCATCAGAACAAGTTGTACAAGTTCATACTGAAGGCCCACACTTCACATTTACGTAACAGGGATAAATTATATCAGTAAGAAAGACAAGACAACCCAATAAAAACAGATGGCATTCAGATCATTACAGTATGGTGTCGACACTAGTCCACAGGCATCTGTAGTATAACGGAGTTAACGTCTTCTCTCAGCAGAGCTAATTAAGGAATTTGACAAATGACCTCAGGAATGTGAAGCTGTGCCTTCAAAGTCTTTAGAAACATACAGGATTTTGTGAAAATTGCACAGGCTTGCTCTCAAACTAGTTCTTCTGTATGAGGAGAATTCACAAGTGAAGACAAATAACTGGTCTTAAATGGAGCTAGCTCAATAAAACCAGACATAGAAGCACGTAAAAACTCATAACCATGTGGTAACCATAGTAAAGATAAACAATTTGCTCTCTATGACCTCATTTAGTTTCACTTGGACTTGCCAATGAATTCCTTTGTGCAGAACATCTTGATCAAACAACATCTCCGAAGTAATGACAAGCACACCTCTGAGATTTTACAAGGCAAACAGTTTTGTAATTCTAAATTTCTTCGCTAATGGCAAGGAGGACTTGAGTCATTCATGAAGAAAGTTTTGCTTCAGTTCATAGAGCATCATCCGGACTCCTGGATTCTAGACTACAGCATTGACAGATAGTCTTGTGAACAGACTTGCAGTGTTTTTAAAGCCTGGGCAACCCACGTCTCTAACAGCAAGCCACCACACACCGCCAGGAGAGACAGCCGCCGACTGCAGTTCAGAATCACTGAAACGTGGGAAACACAAAATGTGTCAATGATTTTTATTACTATAAAAAAATCAAAACGACGGTGGGGGTCGCTGCCGCGGTGGGCAAGTGACGTAACCGGTGTTGCGGCTTAACACCGGTATCACCGTCAGCACCGTCTATCGCGGCAAGCCTATTGTGAAGTGAAAAACTGTGTTTACAAGAAACAAATCCATCATTAAGGCTAGGCTATTTTGCTTTAAACCATAGCCTCTGGCCAAAATGCCAGTTCATAAACCATAATAACATTTCCTCCAGTGAAAAAGTCCGTCCTCTGTTGCCCTCAGCATACCTGTTTCGGAGTGCTTTTGCTTATAAACCGTGCATATTTCTCTCCGGATTCAGACTAGACCACTTATTCACTGAATCTGTTTAAAGTTAAACACATCCTAATGATGGGTTACAAACATTCAGCTTGTGGATTCTTTATTTTACTTGTGGATTATTGTGATGCTTTTATCAGCTGTTTGGACTCTCGTTCTGACGGCACCCATTCACTGCAGAGCATCCACTGGCGAGCAAGTGACGTAATGAAACATTTCTCCAAATCTGTTCTGACAAAGAAACAAACTCATCTACATCTTGGATCTCCCGAGGGTGAGTAATTTTTCAGGCAATATTCATTTTGATGTGGACTGTTCCTTTAAATACACTTTAAATAAACAATGTTTTGTTGATATCCCTATAACAGTGTTGGTGAACCATCTGCACACACTACAGGAACTGCTGGGGGTGCTTAGCACAGCTGTAAAGACCTTACGCAAACAACGGCCCAACAATACAATCCTCTGTGCGAACGCATATGTGTGGGAAAGAGAAAGTGAGTGTGATGTGGACTTGTCACGTTGCCTCTGGGTGTTTATGTGAATGAAAGAGTGTGTACGGTTATCTTGCGCTGCCTGTGAGTGTGTTTAACGTGTATGGACTCCATAAAAGTTGATATTCACCTCTTATGGCTTGTGAATTGGAGGTCAGAACGAACAGTCGTATGAGGCTGAAGCAGAGCGGAGAGAAATCGTGCTCCCAGATGACAGCTGGGATTAACAGCACTTTGCCGTAGCTGGAGAGCAGAAGTGCCTTCAACAGTGGAGTGAATTCTAGAGAGCAACCACAGCAGCGCTGCGACGTCCAGAGAATGAACAACACACCTATGCAGAACACGGCCAACTCTAGAAAAACACAAAGAACATGGGAGAATTTCTGCATTATTTTAATGATAATGTACATTTCCCCCCCAAATTCTCATTATGCTAAAGTGCAAAACATATTCTCAGTTTCTAATTACTGTATTGCAACTACAATAAGAGTAGTACATGTATAATAATAATAATTTGCAAAATGAAAACGATATTAAGGTTTCTTTTAGCAGGTGCTATTATTTTCATGACAATTATATGGCATCCACATCTTTAATTTTGGATTTTTTCCCCCATTCTCATTATTCAAGACATTCTCACAAATGTAATAAAATTCTACTATATTACAGTAAGAAAATAATGCAATGTAAATAAGTACAAAAAGAACAAATCCTATAATATTTTTAGGAAAATAACACTTACATTGAGCAATGACGCATTAAACTGATCAAAAAGGTAACAGGAAAGACAAAAAAAAAGTCAGATAAATCAAACAAAATCTGTTCTGAATCTCAAATAAAAAATATAAATAATTTTCAACATTGATAATAAGTAATGTTTTTATAAGCACAAAATCAGCATATTAGAATGATTTCTGAAGGATCATGTGACACTGAAGACTGGAGTAATGATGCTTTGCATCACAGGAATAAATTACATTTGATAATATATTTAAACAGAAAAGAGTTATTTTAAATTGTAATATTTCATAATGTATTTTTAATTAAATAAATTCTGCCTTGGTGATCATAACAGACTTCTTAAAAAAAAAAATTTTTTTTAAATAATCCTACCTATCCCTAACTCTTGAGCAGTAGTTTATGTACTGTAAAAAACTTTTTTCTTTATTCTAAATGTTTTGATTTTTTTAAGGGGAATTAACGGGGACTAACCCTTTCCCGTAAAACATTATCCTCAATGGTAATGTAAGCCTACAGAACAGTCAGAATAGACCTTTCAACAGATCACATTGAAGAAAAAAATAGACTACAAACCCCTAAATCTTTCATAAGATTTCATAAGCTACATTGTTACTCAACATCTCAATTAGTCCATTTTAATCATTCTAATTACCCAGTGCAGCCAGTGCAAACATGCAGTAAAACTCCCACTCTTTAGTGTAACGGATGATATCAGCGGGGTCATTGCTGGCCTGGGACCCCTGCAGGAGGGACCAGCGCAGATACGCCTCACACAGCAGACAGAACACACACAGTTTCCAGTGGATCTACAGAGAGAGGAACAGAGGCTGTGCTCACAACTCAATACTTTGTATACTATTTATACTGTCTGTACTCGGCACGCAGTATACTGAAGTATGCATATATTTTTTTCCAAATCTGTTAAAAAACTGAGTATACAAGTTTTACTTACGTTGATCTCAGTGTTGAAGAGGATATGTCTAAAGGCCTGGATTTTGCATAAAGTGGCATCTATCAGAACAATAACTGGATCATATTCAATGTATTTGTCAACGGGCTTCTTGCATGAACTCTGTAGAGAGAAAGAAAAAAAAAACACATCAGTTAGTTTCAATTTTGAATGACAGTTTATGAATAGCAATTCATGTTAGCTAAACCACTGATTTTGTATATGCATATTTTTTCATGAAATATTTGTTTTGGGTTTTATAACGTACTTACATTATGCTGAAAGCCATTAAAAGCTTATAATATATTTCAAATGCAGATATTTCGTGGAAGATGGCTTCACAGCGTCAGACAATAGAGTTTTTAAATTATTATTATTATTTTTTTTTTTAAAGTTACTCGCCGTCAATAACAATAATTTGCAACGGGACCGTATTTGTTGTAAATGAACAGTTTTCTTTGCTTCAGTTTTTTTTTCTGGGCAATAATGGTGAAAATGTTTCTCTTTTTTTCCAGCCAAAAAAAACCCCCCATAAATACAGAAATAAAAAAAAATAACTGAAGTAACTTAACAGTGACAAACTGCCGTGCCCTTCACTATGTGCATTAGTACCTCAGGCCTATGTTGTTGTGAGCATGCTAACCATGCTAACAGGACAGAGAAAACAAACGAAACTTGAAATTCTAAACTTTATGATGCACTCACACATATGGTGATCTTCAGTATTCCGTTGCTATAATCTCGATGCAGTTCGTTTGCATCTTCGTTACACTCGACGCATTTAAACAGTCCCGGTGCCATTCTCCATATGACAGCACTAAAACACGCCTACTGCTTCCTGAACCTCCATAAGAGGCGGGGCTTATCAGGCTACTGACGGGAAATGTAGTTCTTTTATCCTCCGTCACCACTGCTGGAAGCAGGGATTTAGTTCCACGCAACTACATTACACAGACTACACCGTTCCTCACCTGCTCATAACATTACTCACAACATGGCACCTGCTGGCGGGGGTGTTGTGCCGGCAGCTCTGTCGCTGCTGTACTTATGCGGAGCTATTTTATCCAGCGAGTATTTCTCCACCTTGACTTTTTTCAACAGCGACCTTCACAAGCACGGCTGCAGCTCTCCGGCCGAGTGGGAGGAGTATGCGGCGGACTGCGGTGAGCTTCTGCCACGTCCTGATGTATAGAATGTGCATCTGCTTCACTCTCTTCCGCTTAACGTTACAGTGAAACGAGCTTGATCATACAAGCAGAAATTCAGACCATACAGGAGAAACTCGCATCATGCATGCAGCAACTCATGTCACACATGCAGAAACTCTAAAAATGCTTGTAGAAACTCATGCGGATCATGCATGCAAAACCCCGGTGCCTCTTGCATGTCCTTCTAATTGCTAAATAAACATGCAACAAGAACATTTTTATTGGGTGTCACCGAGTTCAAGATTGCTTTTAGCAGATGTATCTTGGCATTACAATGGAGATTGGAGATGATAGTGGTATTCTTTGAAATAACTTAAATGAGTGCCGTGAAAACACAATTAACAAGAAGCCCCTGTTTTCA